ACACACACACACACACACACACACACACACACACAGACAGAAGGAGATAAAGAAGGCGTGACTTACGTTGTACCAGCTTTGGCTCTTCTGTGGAAAGAGAAAAAGAGGAAAAGCATTTAACTCCGTGGAACTAGTGAACAGTGCAGCAGGCTTGAAGGCTTATGCAGATACAAACGATCACCTTTTTAATAACCAGATCCATCAGATGTAAAACAATAATTTGTTAACAGCAGAATTCCCCACACTATTTAAATAATGTACTCTATCCTGAACATGGAAACGATGGAGGGTTAAATTATCTTCCAGTCCACTTACGTATGCACCCAGACAGACATGTCTACTTAACAATCAAATATAGGACTTTTCCCCAAATCTTCCAAGGAAGACCTGTTTCCTGTGTTGGTGGAGCTGAAAGTAATTTAATTCTAAAGCATGTTGCGTGCTGCATTCGCTGACTGGATATACTATGTTTGTCTTTCAAAATATCTTTACAACAAGACGTACATCGATATGTCTTCAAAAATCATCACATTGCCTGCGTGGAGTTTATTTTTTTAAAGAAAATGTGAAAATTAATTCACCTTTGTAGTTTAGTGAGAGCTGTGATGATATTTAAATGACCTGTAATGGGTGTGAAACGTGTCACTGGTGATTTTCTATAATTTGTTCATTTGAGGTCTCTTCTTAGACAAACAATCACGTCTGTTGCGGTTTTACAGCAGCAGAGGGCAGCAGAGGTGCGGCCTAATAAGATTCACAATTCCATTCACATAAACACACTTTCAACTCTAACAGTCTAAATGCAAAAAGTCCCACAGAGGGAACATGCAGGTGATCATTCAAAGGGGAGAACAAAGAAGAGGGTTTTCATGGGAAGAAGACGGGGACTAAAGAGGAGAAAGTGCATCATACAGCATGTGTCTGGCAGCAGAGGGATGATTGACAAAGAAATATTATATTAATAAAAAACCCCAAACTGGCACAGTAAGTTAAATCTGATGTGAATAACAGACTTTGCGGATAAACCAGAATGAGTTTTGGCAAGAACACAGAAAAAAAAAAAGTAGATGATGTTGATTGTGACAGTGTAGCTGAAGAGTGAGTCACATGTTTCGTATCACACTTTGACTTGGCAGCTTTAGAAATTGCCACAAAACACAAATCATGGACTGAATGAAGCCCTAAATATTGCAAAACTGTAATTTTAAAACACAGAAATATTTAGTTTGTTTGTTTTCTGTTCAACAGGGTTTGCTGCTTTTCTGGTGTGCGCAGCGTCAGCTAGCATTTAGCTACAGAAGCAGGCTCAAGGCTGTGATGATAGCTGGGCCAATGTGCGCTACTCTGATCTGAAGGTGACAGAGAGAAATTACTCAGAGTCCACTGTCTGGACAAGGCGTGCATGTATGCATGTGCCACTGTGTTTGACTTCCTGTGACTACATAAGAGGAGGGGCAGATTTCTTGGTTTAAATTTCAGATCATATTGTTTTAAAGAAATAGTTTTGTGTCGGGGCAAAAGAATTGGCTCGAATAATAATATTTTGTCATTTACAGTGCTGACAGTCACTACAGTGGAATCAGTCTTCTGATTAAGCCGGGCTGATTATTTAACATTTCAGAATGAAATCAGGACCCTTTCGCATTGAGTCAGAGGGTGGGGGCGCACTGGAAAGGACAAGAGGGACGGGAACTAGAAATCCATCTCTATATGATGGGTAAGTGGAGGCCTAAGGGACTCAATGGGAGGCAGCAGGGATTGTGAATGGGTCAAATGAAAACAAGAAGAAATGCTTACTTTAATCAGGTTTAGCCTGTCATACTGAAAGAAAATTAAAGAGAAAACAAAAATGTCAACTAAAGCAATGAGCAACGTAAACACTGACAGGAATGGAAACGCGACACACTGATATCATAAGCGCCTGTGGCTCAAGTACAACTCTGAAATAACACTGCCAATACCGATGTAACAGCGTCACAGGGCTGACTGAGTGGTTAGGTTAGCCTCTCCATCTAGCTGGATATGTTACATTAGATGCCTGATTGATTATTATTACATCAGGACTGCCGTTTATGCCGTTTTGCATAGAGGCACGGTGCATACGTTTCTTCTACCAAATGCATCTTTGATTTGTGCATCATTAGGGTTGGGGCGATCGAGCTCACGTTGCTTGGACCTAATGCCATTGCTGAGGTCATGTGACCACTGCAGGCCACAGAGGCTTTATATATGTATACATATACATATATTATTTATATATCTATATATATGGGAGATATTGCAAAAGAGTTAGGGTGGGGGTGGAGAGGGTTCAAACTGCGGCACATAAAAGGAGAGTCATATGATCAATTAGGATCTATGTGTGTGCACTAAACTGATTGTGTGACTGCACAGCAGCAAACAGAGCATCAGGAGGGCTCTCTTCACACCGACCTCCAATTTACTGACTCACTCTCCCATTTTTGCGTCTTTCTATTCATTTATGGTAAAAATTGCACCCTATAGCCTGAGTCACTGTATAGCCGAGCCATAAATTGAATGACTGACATGAAAAACACTGCGACAAGTAGCAAATTAGATGATGGGCCAAAAGAAAACCGAAGCAACAAAAACGGAACGCAAGCCGGAAAAATGTGGGGCAAGGGGGGCAAAAAAATATTTTAAAATAAAAAAAAAAAAAAAGATAAGATGAATTTCTTTCATGTGATGACAGAGAGGCTGCTTAAATAAAGATCCGGTCCTGCTGCTCTGGACTAGGATGCTGGCAGTATTTTAAAGAGTTCATCCTTCTACAGCAAGGGAATTACAGTATATTACTGTTACAGCATAACAGATGTAAAGCACTCATTACCGCAGTGTGATAGCGAGATAAGTTTGTAAAGAGAGTTACAGCACAAAGGCCCAAGCAGGGAACAGGAAGAGGAGGTGAGGAAGGAATTTGGACAATTATTTGCAATATTTATTTATGTATTTAGTGAATTTCTCTACATCTGAATAGGAAAAAAACAACAAATAATCCTGATGTGACATTTCTGTAGAAATTCATGTCATATAAAACCACCAGAAAGGGAAAGGAAGGAAAGAGGAAAAGGAAAGGAAGTGAGTGAGGTTGCGTAGGGTTATTGGTATTGCAAAAAACGTCCATCTGCTGTGATGAAGGGTGCAGATGGGGATCGCAACGGCTGCAGTGTGCACAAGGGGGCAAGCCGGGTTTCAGGGGGAAGCATTCGAAAAACAGGAATGTTGTTTTTTGGGGTTTTTTTTCACAGCGCAGCTCACAAGACAGGAGGTGTTGCAGAGGGGAAGTGGGCACGGAAATATTAGAAGAACAGAAAAAAAGAGTAATGCTTACTTTGGAAAGACGCTTGTGAGACTAGCATGCAATCAGGAGAAGAACAAAGAACAAAAAAATCAGATAGAAAAATGAAACCCCAAAAACGAAACAAACTGCAAGAAGAAACAGCTGACAGTACCAACAGAAGAGCTGAACAGTCTTTATCAGATGGTATGTATTATCATTATGGCATGTAGCAGTAGCAGCAGCAGCAGCAGCGAGGAGAGAGACGGCGTGCACAGTGTGATGTGGAGAAATGAAAACGATCTCAAAAACCCAACGGAGATCAGCGGAGATGGATGAGGCAAAGCCAAAAAAGGAAATGGAGTGTGATGGCTTGTATCTTCTGTGAGAATACCTGACTTTCAAAGATTTAAATTCGCTTGTGATGAGAAATGCTGATGAGAACTCAGATAGATCCAAAAGAGAAAAAGCTCCAACACTTGAAAGCTACACAGAAAACATGCTCAGCGCAAGAAATCCTAATCTCTGATTTGAAACCATTGTTTACATTTTACATTTGTCAATGTAAGTCATTTCCTGGATTAATTTTGTTGTTTAGCAAGCTAAAACAGGTACAATATAAAACTTTTACTGATTGGCTTCTTTAATCTTTTATTGTAAAATTAGTGAAAAAATGTGTGTTCAGGAGGAATAGAGAGAATAGTGTTATCTGTTCAGATTGGTTTTGGAGGGGTGGAGTGATAGTTACAGATCATCAGTCACCTACCAAGTCAATAATCGAGCCGAACACGTGCGTCACTACACTAGAAAATAACTAAAGCCGGGCCGACACTGACGTGTTAGTGCAGCCACAGTTACACAGCTGGATCACAAGAGTTAAAATATCATCACGAGTGTCAGAGAGTCAGGAGGACTAATTTAGAAGATGAAAAAATGTAATGCAACATAGCAGGACTATAATCACAGAGGAAATCCAAAGCATGGCAGGTAGTTGCTAACCTCATTTCGGTGCCCTCCTATTGATTTATGTCTGTTTTCTACACGATTATGTTCTTGCTGAGTGTAAGCGCTCACGTTATAAAACCAAATCTTCTCCTGAGTCCTGAAAATTCGTCTCCACCATCTTACTGTATTTGAGCCAAAGTGGAAACAACAACGTAAAGATTACACTCAACTGTAATAATGTGTATGCTTAGGTTTGAGGTTAAAGACAACATATTCTCAAAGCAGGTAACACTTTATACTAAAGATCATTGTTAAATGGTGAATAGATAGCTAATAAACAGCTTACTTATTTTGAACAGTTTTTGATGTTATATTACATTATAATTAATAATGTTTAATAATTGGTTAAAATAAGCAGCTTTAAATGTTCAGTATTCAGTTAAAAGGCGTCCCTGATAATGATTGATGCCCAGTCAAATCAGTTAGTGTACAAACTAGTTAACTAGTTAAATGTTATTAATAATTATCAAACATAATCAATGATAATTCCTTCACACTGAAATATTTTTTTTACTACAGTTTAATTAATTCTCAATGAATAATTTATTACTGAGGATTATTACTAAGTGTTCCACTTAGGCCTTATCCTGCCCGTCTCACCTTTATCTTTGTCTGTGATATTGACACCTGGTGTCCCACTGTGAAGCAGCTCTGTGTGACGCAAAGTGTTGTCGAGGTGTACGGGGGCCTCTCTTTCTGCAGTTCTGAGTGTTTTGGGTGGAAAGGACACACAGCTCAAAAAGGGCTGAGAGACGCTGAGCGCTGGATCCTCTGTTTTATCCGTTTTTTAAAAAAAAATATGCCAGTGAAAGTGCACCGTGTTTCAGTCCGTATTGTATTTCCATCTGATCAGATTCCAGATGATGCATCGAGAAGATAAAAAGGCGACTCTCCCGTGTACTCACCTTTGAGTTCTTTCCCCCGCTTCGCGCTGACTGCACGGAGTACGTTCTCTGGACAACCTGCTCAGGCGTGGAGGGGGACTTGTCAGAGGAGTGGTCTGAACCCTTCTCCACCATGTTCTCACCCTCCTGGCTCTGTGGTGTGGGAGAGCGCGAGCGTTTACGCAGGACTGGTGAGCAGGCGGGCGTGCTCTTGTTTGAGTTACTGGCAGTGCTAAAACAAACAAACAAACAAACAAAAAAAAAAAAAAGAGAGAAAAAGAAGAGAATTCATTCCAATGTGATTTAACCTCACAACAAATATTAAGACAAACTGCTCTGCATGACAGCGCTGACCTACAGGTCAGTGTGGACAGCAGCACAGCACGTACACTGTTTGCTCAGCCTTACATCACTTGAGGCTTAATAGGCTTGAAGCACCATGTGCTAACCTGGCTAATAATGGCCAAGCTAATACGGGAACTCAAAAACAACAACAACAACAAAAGCAGCAATGACGAAACGAAATGGCGTAAGCAACATCCACACAGTTATTAAGAAATCTTTAGAAAAAATATCAAATTTGAACGATCCTCACTGTGATATTTCACTATTTCTGTTTTGCATGCAGTCCCAGACCTTAACTGTGCGCAAGGTTCCTATCTGCTAGGCTCTGTGATCCAGAACTAGACTATCTCAAACATCTCTGGCTGAGTAAGGAGCCTTCTTCTCCTAATGACAGAAGCTAACAAAAGGCCCTGTAAGTGATCTGTGTGACAGTGTGCCTGCCAGGCCTGGTTACTTGACATGGCGTTATGCAAGCCATTACGTCAGTCGATGGCTGCTGTTAGTGGTCATGAATTACTGATCTACCGTTACATTTGGGACTTCACTGCAGCTTGGAGCCTTGAATCATAGAGAGCGGTGATGACAGCTGCTGTCTGACTGTCAGATGCTGCTGTACCAATAGCTGCTTGATTTTAAAAGACAAGGACATCACAGAGCCTTCACATCTGTTGACTCACCAAGATAAATAATGCACGCCTCTGACATCAATACATATGATTACCTAAAGTTCAGTTCTTTCAGTCGATGATCATTTTAAGTATAGTGTACATTGTGTATTCCTTAGTGACGCCATTAAGAATACATTAAGGGAAAGCTGTCCTTAAAAGACATTAATTGTTAAACATTTAGAATTTTAAGTACACATTAATTTCTGCCAACGGTAAAGGACCACCACATGAGATTTTAGTGCAGAGCTACAGTTTAGCTTTCTAATGAGTATTTTTATTGCCTCTCACGCTCCCTCTTGTGCTTTTTGGCGTTTCATATTAACTTCTGGCGTTGTACACGCCAAGATGCATGCTATTAAAGTTTGCAGCTTGCTGATCTGATATGCACCGTGCAGTACGATCTCTGTCTCAGCCAGAAGATTTGTAGTTAAGCGCATATACGACATACCTGGAAGTTGGGGGACAATCAAGCAAATACTTTGATTTTAGCACAGGCAACACCCAACCCATAACCTGCTGAGTTTCCAAATAAAGGATGACATACTAGATTAAAATCACAACGGACAATGAAATTATGACATTGGTTATTCAGAACGACACCTGTGCTGCTTTTCTTTAAAGGTGAATGGGTGGTTTTGTAAGGTTATACATTTTTTATGATGTAAGCAGATTCTTGTCTGGGCTACAAAACACTGTGGGAAACCCTGTGGGCAACTGCACATGATGATAGGAGGATGGAGAATGGCACAAATTTGGCACATGCCTGTAAGTGGTGGGGGCGGCTGTTGTGTTCCGTGCTGCTGGTGGACGTGTAAACCAACATGAAGCACAAAGGTGTTCAATGAACGTCTTTTATGTTTGGTCAGATAGAATATTTGTGTTTTGGGGACTTTTGGGAAGACATGATGGGCAGATTTCTATTTTTTATTACTGGGTTGGACGCAAACCCTGTTACTCCAAGGCGATTGGGCCCTTAAAACTGTACTATGTGCTGGGTCTTCTTCAGTGTGTTTGAATTCCAGAACAAAAATATAGATATAATTAAATACAAGACCCTTTTATATACTAGTTCCTCACTAATGTATTGTATTTGATCCATGACAAATTTAAGACAGATTACCATCATACGTTTTATTGTAATAGGCTGTGACACATGGTGAATTCCCAACCAGTTCACCCTATTCTAGTATTTTCTCAACAATTCATGTGAAAGCATAAATAAATCATGACTGAAACCACGTGTGTAAGACCAAGTGATGCACAAAAATACAATTCTGTGCACCATGTGCCCCTTGACTGGGACAGGTGACTTATAATCAGAACAGCTGTCAACAGTTTCACAAATATCAACCAGAAAAGGTGCAAGTAGCGCACTATACCAAACCTTAGAAGAGCACAGGTACATCAAATAGATGTATTAACAATATATATCAAAATACAATAGCTACAGAACTGGAATCTCATGACAAACCAAACCTGCACCAAAAGTCCACACTCAGTCATGTGTCTGTGTTCTCAATGATCTCATAACTGCAGACACAAACACATTTTTGTGCAAATAATACAGATAAAACATACTGTTTTCGTGACTTTGCATCCAAACAGAGCACTTTACTGTAAGACATAAAATCTCAGTCTGCACATTTGTTTGTTTCTTTGTCCGCCAACTCCAACACCTACATCGCCAGGAGCTGAGCGACAAAACTAGGCGCACGTTTGCATCTTAGGCTCCTTTAAGTTCTTTTCCATATCAGATATTATGATATCACCATGTTGCCTAGGAACCACCTAGCAATGGGCAACTTATATGAGCTGCTTTCAGTATTGATGCACCTGCATCCTTTTATTTCATTATAATGACATTTTATTTATGTCCACAAAACTTAATTTATACACCATCAGACACTTGATGGCCATCCATCCATCCATCTTCATCCGCTTTATCCGGGGCCGGGTCGCGGGGGCAGCAGCCTAAGCAAAGAGGCCCAGACCTCCCTCTCCCCAGCCACCTCCTCCAGCTTATCCGGGGGAACACCAAGGCGTTCCCAGGCCAGCCGAGAGATATAATCTCTCCAGCGTGTCCTGGGTCTGCCCCGGGGCCTCCTCCCGGTGGGACATGCCTGGAACACCCCACCCAGGAGGCGCCCAGGGGGCATCCTTGTCAGATGCCCAAACCACCTCAGCTGGCTCCTTTCGATGTGGAGCAGCAGCGGCTCTACTCTGAGCCCCTCCCGGATGGCCAAACTTCTCACCCTATCTCTAAGGGCTTGATGATCACTTGATGGCTTCATTTAAAAATCTGCCAAATCCAACATAGGGAGCTACCCACTGTGAATAATTTGTATTACCCCATCAGGTTGCCTGGCAACCACCTAGCAATATGTAAAAATGACCCGTTTTTAGCATTTATGTGCCTGCGACATCTTATGCAAGCATCCTGTTGCCTTAATTAAACAAGAAATAGCACAAATAGACCAACAATACTATAGCATGGGCATGTGCTGGGCTCATAAATGTGCCTGTCGTGTTATTTTGCATGTCACATCCTAGGCTGGTCACTCTCACTCTCACACTAGCAGGTCTGGACTAGAGCTGCAAGACTGGATGGAGTTCCCATCTGGTCCTATGAAGGTTAATTATACTAAAAGTCAAAATGCTTGGATACTACAATGTAGCTACAATGTAGCTTGGTAGCATCACCAAACAAAAATAGACAATACATAAAGATAATGGCTTCTATAAGGGTTACCTGAAGAGCATAATTCATGTGAATCCATGTTAAGTTTGAGAGATGCGGTTGGGTAACAAACTAGCAAATAGAAGAGATAACAAAAAAAGACACGGCTCATCTCTTATAATGTCCCCGCATGCAAAACATGTACAGCGACCCCCACTTGTTGTTTTCAGTAATAGGAATGCACGGATCACCTCTCCCTTCCACATACACGGCAGTAAACAATGGAAACACTGAATCCGTCATCAGCATATGAATGACTGAACCCAATCGGTCATTCACACAAGAGTTTGCTCTTTGAACCACCGGGCTAAGTGTGGACAGAGTGAACATGCAGCCTTTGCTAGCCTGGAGAAGAGTGGACAAAAGCATCAGTCGCAACTGCTTTGTTCTTAACTCCCTCATGAAACACAACACTGAGACACAAAGCGAGGACCTGTCACAGCATTATCTCTGGACGCTAGTATGTGGTGTGATTAATGTCAAACACAGAGTTCGGCAGTAGATTAATAGACAAGGCTCTTACAGTTATCACGTCATATGAAAATGCTGTATGTAACAGACATGACAAACACTGCAAACCTATATGCACTATTGGTTGTATTGGAGCTAAAATAGGGCAAGAGTCCCTACTGCGTCATAGGGTGGCAATGATAAAGTGGCCTGAAGGCTGCTGTGTACACTTATATTCAGTGACATATATACAGTATACACACACAGAGAACTTCAAGAAATTTATCAGTTTAAAAGAAAAACCCAAAAACATATCACTTGGAGCATTGCCTACTACAAAGCTCAAACACAGCTCTACTTTGAATGAAGATCGCTATAGCAACAGTGGACAGGATGGCTTAAATATTCAATGTGTGTGGCTAAATATACTCAAGCTCTGCAGTCAGAGAAGCCGTCTGAGCCGAAAATACAGCAGGACGGTGATGTGACAGACAATACCTCACAACCCATCTGGGCACCGTCATTGTACATTTCATGATTAAGCAAGTGTTTGTGTCTTCAAACAAACAGCTGTCATTTAAACATTGATTATTTACATTGCATCTGAGAAAACTTGAAGGTACAAACACAACTTGGCTCCGGAAATGTTTGGATTTTGCCTCTGTATCCCAGCAAATGGAGTTGAAATGAACTGAGATCCAAGGGAAGTGCAGAGGCTTGGCTTTAATTCAAGAGACCTGATAAACTGTTACATTAATTGTTGAATAATTGCAAACTTTTTTAATGCTCAGACTCTTTTAAATGCAAGTGAAAAACTCAAAACCTATTTTGTGGACACCTATGGGGCTATTTCTTTATTTCATTAAGCAGATAAGAAATCTGAAGATGTCTTATCTGCAGTTGCAGTTGTCAATGCAATGTTTCAATGCAATGTACATGAAGTAAATGGAGACTAGGATGACTTATTCCTGTGCTTTTGTTGGTTCTGAGCAGTAGCTTGGACTGAGTCGAGCTAAGACTTGATGATACAAC